TAATTAATAACCTAATAATGTCACAATATTGACAAAATGAAAGATAAGTTATTTGTCCATTTTTATTTTTCTTTTTTCCATAAGTAGTCAAGATATTGACTACAAATTAATTCCGTAATCATCACAATTAAAAATACTCCGTAAACTTAATGTCCTTAATGATTGTCATACTTCTAAAAAACAGAAAATTAAAATAAACAAGAAACAATTACCAGAATTTGAATTGCAAGCTGAAATGGATATTCAAAAAACAAAAAGTATCACATTATTTGAGACGGGAGGAAGTACTAACTTTTTTATTAGTACTAGAAATAAAGATTTTTCCCATCGCAAATCAATGAGAAATTTGTGTTATATAACATGATTTCCCCCCCCCCCCCTTAATTTTCCATCGAATATATAAAGACGCATAGTAAAAAAAACAGATTCTCACTGAAATTGTGAAACTTTTTCTAATTTTTTCATATAAACAATTATATATATATATATATATATATATATATATATTTATTTTTTTCCATACCAGTTCAATTAAAATATCTATAAAAATAGTCACTAAACATTTTTCAATAAAAAAAAATTAATAATTTTTTAGTAGTAGATATTTTTAGTTACGTAATACATATTGTGATTGATTTCTATAAAAGTCAATCAATTGGGAGTATTTGATCCAAAAGTTAAAATATATTTTTGTTAAATAATCAAAAGTTACAATAAAAGTAGCTACAAATTCCGTTTAACCAAATACATATATATCTCAATTATAAACTTTTAAACTTTATTACTCCATAAAGTGTAAAAATATGAGAAAAAACTTCTAATTTATTTTAAAGATCCTTATCCCTAATTCCCCACTAACTCAATCTCTTTTCTTTAGTCAACCACTTTATTTTTTCCAATTTTTCCCTCAAGAATAAAAAATTAATTCGTCATTATTGATTAATGATTGAACCTATATATTATGGTACTAATTAAAGTGTACCTCTTGTACTAGTAGATCTCAACTCTTTTGATTTACCTTTTTTATGGTGGGGGGGGGGGGGGAGTAAACTAGTCAATTATTAAAATCAGTTAAATGACCTAATTTTAGGTTTGGTATATAGAGAAATTTGCAATAATAGTAATAAAAACAATTTATTAGTTTTAACAATAATGATAATGATGATGTATAGACTATAGTTATGAGTTATGACTTCCTTGCATTGGATTCCAATAGTCTTAGGATACCCAAATCATAAGGTTTACTATAAATTAAGGATATGTTTTATTAATTAAGAGATGAAAATATTTCCAATTTGGTGGAATTAATTAAAATATGATCACTTGCCCCAAAGTTAGAAACCTTCCATGTGCACTTTCTCCCACATGCATTTTTAAGTTTAGGAGAGGTCGTGAGTGGTTTAGTATTTGAAATTTACTAATTCAATTAATTAAGATTTGCGTTGAATAAGTTCATTAAGAAAATAAATCACAAAACTCTGAATAAAAATTGAATAAGTTCATTAAGAGAATAAATCACAAAACTCTGAATAAGAAGCTTTTCATTCGATTATATATAATCTCATTTCTAATTAGAAATGAAGCAATCACTTGTTTCTTAAACTAAGTATGACGATTCATCAAAGCCTCTTTCTTATTATTTTTTTTAACTCACTCATAGGGGTTGGGATCATCTCAGCCATTGTCATCCGATCCCAATTTCTGTTCAACCCGATAATTACATTAGATAAATTGTGTGACTTCAAACAATATAATCATGTCAATTGAAAAAAAGTGTGCGTTAATATATCTAAAGTGGCCAAAATTCTATCTAGATACTTTATTTTAGAACCAATCATTTGGTTTGCAAGTTTGTTACTCCATTCTTTCTTCTAGAATTGTACATATTGTTGTCAACTAGAGCACTATAATGGTTGAGATCATGCATATCTATCCCAAAAAAGATAGATGAAATAGTCAAAAGATTGTATATTAAAAAGTGTTGATAGCAAACTAAAAAGTAGGGTAACTTTAAGAGATGTGGATATTATATTCTTCTTAGTTCTTTTTATATAATATGAAAATTCTCCAAATGTGACAAATTCCATTTCCTCTTCTATCTATCTCTATCTTGAGTTGAGCACTAAATTCCCATTCTTGAAAATGAAAAATTGTAGTGATTACTTTTGAGCTCCCACAACTTGCCATTGATTTTGACACTAAGAATAATGTATTAGAAAAATTAATACCGGTACTTCTATGTTCCATATTAGTTGATCATTATATTCAAAATAGTTATTTCATATTAGTTGTTCATCTTACTAAATCAAGAAAACATTAATTAAATTTTTACTATATTACACTTGCAATTAATTCTTTTTGAAAGTGTTCACATTTGTTTGTAAAAATTCCAAGAAGTTTTTTAAGGGATGAATTAGTAAAATTATCTTTTTATTTATGATTTCTTAAGCACCGTGCAAAATGAAAAGTGATCAACTAATATAAGACTGAGGGAGTATTAATTATGATATTATTTAATCTTTTATGTGATAGAAATTAATACATAACAAACTATAGTATTAGCAAGACAGGGGCAACTAATACGTGATAAACATAATTAAAGACAAAATTGTTATTAATGCACCCAGTCAAATAATCTCAAACATAACTAATTTCAGTATTACTAATACTCCACTAGTATTATTCTTATACTCCACTAATGAATAGAACGATCAAAACATCTAAAATAATAATTAACAGAATAATTGTTACGATCTAAATACACCTTATTCAATAATATTATTAATATACGCTCTGTAAATAATCTCAGAGATGAAAAATATCCACTAATAAATAGGACATACGAAACATTTAGAATCAGAATTCAAAAACAAATATACAAGATACTTTTTTTTTTTGAAAAAAAAAAAGAACATTTATGCAGTGTGCTCAAACAGTTTAAGAAAATAAGTTAAAGATGTCAATTTTAAAAGAGCAACTTTCACATATAGCAAACACAAAATTCATATTTGTATGCTATAGCAAAGTTTGCATAATTGCGCTCCATAGCAAATATATATTTGCGTTTTTGTATAAAGTGAGAGAGGCGAGTGAGAGAGCGAGAACTGGGAGAGTGGCGAACGATATCTGGGAGAGGGGAGAGAGGGGAACGAAAAAAAATATATATATACAATTTTCTCTCGCTTTATACAAACACAAAGACATTTTATACAATT